ATTAAACAATGCGCGAGGGCTGTTGAGAAAATGCACTCGACTGGCGAACTTGACAGAAGCATGGGCCCTTCGTGGTTATGCTGCATTAACATCAAGGTTGCTAAATCATCAGAAACTTTGCAAGTCATCAAGTAAAGGCATCAGCTTCGCAATCTGACATTGCTGAGCACTAATAATTGGCAGAAATATACGCCAGCTATTCAATAGCAAGCTTTTGACAGAAATGAGGGAGGGCGAATTTATTCTACAAAAAATATTGCCGAGGGTCCGCCGCTTGTGTAAGGTGTGGAAGTAGCCTTCTTAGGCAATTTTCAAGAGCTTTAGTTTAACTTTTATTTTATATGTTCTACAAAGAGCCGCGTAATGTGGCACTAGTCACATCCATGGAGGTGGCGTCAGGCACGCATGGGCACGCACCTGTGCTCCAAAACACACGAGCTGCTTCAAACATTCTTGCAACCGCATCTGAAGGTAATGAGGGGAAGTGTTCGTGCTCGTAGATGAGAGCACCTCAGCTTCAAGTTTTCTGGCGATGTTTTGCGTCAGCCTGAGACATATCCGCAGCCGTTCATAGATTCATTTTGTTTAAGGCCTCGGGTTTCCTACTCCACCGCATGTGCGCAGCTGAGGACCTTAGTACACAATCTTATAGCTACTCTGGTTACGTACGAAGTCTCCACATCACTGGGGCATGGTGTGCTGGCACCGGCTGCAGAGCTTATCCTTACAAGACGGCAGCCAAAACCCACCTTGTTCCTGACAACGCAACAGTGCGAAACGTGTTATAACTGCACGCGATAATTCTTTTATTTGATGTGTAAAAATGCAATGAAATATGCCGGGACCTATGTATTAGAACGCCAACCTGTGCGGAGTGAGGTAGCTCAAAGGAATACGTCACGCCCGAAGAATTAGCGAAGTTCATTAGACATCTGAGTTAGAAAGAATATTCACATCACAGCCATTCATTTATATTATAACATTTTCCGGTTCTTGTCGTAAAAAACAAAACAAAAATTTACCAAGTAAAGTATACGAGTTCACCTCTGTCTAACAAAAAAACAAGCAATGCTTCACCACACGCATGAGCAATGAAGCAGCCCCTCGGTTCCGATTTTCTTAATTTATGTGAATAGATCAATTGTGTATTAAATTTACTGTTTTTTGTTCTACTTCTTTGTCATTTATGTTCCAATTGCGTATTCTAAAATTCCTTTAGTTTGCTTATTTCTGCCTATATATTGTTTTTTTCTGGCAAGTTTAATTTTTACACTTCTCATGTTTTTATTCAATCGAAAGTATCTTTGGCGCTCAACAACATGAAAGTTTTTAGAGTGCATTTCATTGTGATAAATTCTGTACGCTGCAAAGCGTGCTGGAGAACTTTTCATACTGTCAAAAACTATTTTCCCGAGATACACGAACAATAACCATTTTCGCACGTAAACAGAAGGGGTTTAGCGTTTTGCCAGCATAAAATAAAGCATAAGTTGAGAGGCACACAAATTGAGGTGACACTGAAATGGTTATCGGCGCCAGAAGAATATATACGAAGGAAAATAACCTGTACCACGGAAGACGGTTCGTGTATTTCATGGCTGACGGTTGTCCTCCTCTACGACCACTCGCCAAACAGGACTCCGTCCATGGATTTCTATATTCGTCTGCCAATCTTTTACTCAAGGCTATTTTATTGCCTCTTATTTCTTCCCATGCAAACCACTGCTAAGGAGTAGCAGTTTGCTGCACACTGTTGCAGTGTACACTTTTAATATTTTCCCCATTTTAAATCACTGCACTCCCCTTTCTTGATAACGAAACAAGTTCCACGTTGGTGTCTCCGTGCTATGAAGTATAATGCGATGCTGAGTCTTGTATTAGGGTACAGTGTGTTAAAATGTCATCAAAATAAAATTGCCAAATTCTAGCTGAGACTAATTACAAAGGGCTACGCTGTTCGCAACGTATGGCATTAGTGGAATAAGCATATAGGGAAACCACTATCCGGAATGCGAACATTTATTTACTTATTTATTTATTTACAATACTGCCAGTCTCTTACGAGACCAAAGCAGGAGGGCATGAGTTACAGAATACAATGAATGCTAAGTGCTTTCTTACAGGCGGCATACAGAACTATAGTTATTTTAAAATTGGTAATAATAATCCTAGTTACATAGAAACATTAGACATAGGTATTTATGCACTCCAAATATTCACACTTCGGAAGTAGCGAACTGAATATTTGCTGCATAAAAGAATCAATACAGTTTTATACAGAGAAGGCATTGTGTACACTTATACATTCAAATAAATACCACTGGAAAACAATAATGGTGGTCATGGTTGAAGAAAGCCTTTGTCTCAAAGTATAGTCTCAATTTTTGAAGTGAATTCAGCCAGTGATGGTGGGTTAGTAATGGAGGGGTCTAACCTATACCATTCGCTGATTGACAGGGGGAAAAAGGATTGCTTGAAACAGTCGTTGTTGGAAGCGTATTCTTTGATAGTGTATGCATGTTTATGTCGTAGTGCTCGTGATTCTGCCAAAGATATGTACCTGGATGCATCGATCCGGCTGTGGTTATGCAGAATGTGGTATAGAAATTTGAGACGCGCAATTTTCGCTCTTGTTGCAAGCGTGGGTAGACCGGAGGTTTCTAAAAGGTTTGTGGGCGAGTCGGTGCGTTTGTACTTATTATGTATAAACCTAATGGCCTTCCGTTGAACCCGTTCCAATTTTGCTATATTAGTAACACCTTGCGGGAACCACACAGTGTTAGCGTACTCCAAGATTGGTCGCACGAATGTTGTGTAAGTTAGGAGCCTAGTATCTGTCGGCGCGAAGGGTAAACGCCTTCGTAGGAAAAACAGTTTACGCAAAGCCGATGCTGTAACATTGTTAATGTGCGCATCCCATCTTAATTCGGAAGTCAAGGTGACACCAAGATACTTCTGCTGCGTAACTCTTTGTAAAGGTACGCCGTTAATTGTATAGGTAAAGTCGGAGGGTTCTTTTTTCCTGGCTACCATCATGCAAACTGTTTTTGTTAGGTTAATTAACATTTGCCACTGCTCACACCAGTGAGCAATCTTACTCAATGAATTATTTAAAGATAAATGGTCATCCGAACTGTTAATTCCTCTATAAATAATGCAGTCGTCTGCGAAAAGTTTAGTTTTGCAGTCTATGTTATCAGTGATGTCATTTATGTAAATTAGAAATAATAATGGCCCTAAGACGGAGCTTTGGGGAACACCTGACTTAACTGGAGCCGTCCACGACGATACTCCTTCGAAAACCACGAACTGTGACCGGTTTATAAGAAAGTCTCTTACCCAGTTCGTAATTTCCCCATCCCCAATGATGTTCTGCAATTTTGAAATCAGTTTAGTATGACAAACTTGATCGAACGCTTTTGCTAAATCAAGTAGAATTACGTCAGTTTGGCCACGGTTGTTTATACTGAGTGCAATGTCGTGGACAACCTCGGTAAGCTGCGTGATTGTTGATAAACCTTTCCGGAAGCCATGTTGATGGGGGAACAGAAGATTGTTGTTTTCTAAAAAAATAGTTAAATGCTTAGCGATTATATGCTCTAGTATCTTACATGACGTACTGGTGAGGGATATAGATCTAAAATTAGAAGGAACAGCGGTATCTCCGGTTTTGTGTATGGGTATCACCTTTGCTATTTTCCTTTTTGATGGCAGTTTTGCTGTTTCTATAGATTTGCGATAAATTATGCCGAGGTATTTACTGCACAGTTCTGCGTATCGAAAAAGAAATTCATTTGCAATATCATCGTGGCCACTGGCTTTCTTTGTGTCTAGATTCAAAAGTAGGTTAAGAATCCCAGGGTCGCTTATAACTAATGGTTCAATGGGAATTCGGGCTGTAGGCAAGGCCGCAGGAGTGGTGCCATTGTCATCAGTAAAGACAGATTGAAAATAATCGTTGAAGATATTGGCCTGGTTTGTTTTATCGCTATCGCTTAAACACGACTTTGTTTCCGCGGCAGGGCGAAAATGTTTTCAGAATCGGTGAGGGTTGTTTTTTATGTAACACGGAAGCGTTGAAGTAAAATATTGCCTTTTGGCGAAGCTAGCTTTTTGTTTGAAGTCTGTAATAGCACGTGCTAGGTTAGATGCGGTTACTGGATTCTTGCCTTACTTTTTGATTGCTTGGCGTAGCCTCTTAACTTTTCGCTTTGCGTGTAAAACTTCGCGGGTTATCCAAGGATTATGTTTTTTTGCCTTTTTGTTTTCAGTGGGACAAAGTGGGTAACGCAGAACACAACGATAGTCTTGAAGCACGACCATAGATGATTTACATCAGTCGTTGGTTGTATAGCAAGGTTTGAAAAGTTTTCAAATTCGTGAGCTAAGTAGGTTACAATGCTGGCATCAACACCTTTAGGGAAATTCCGTACAGTAGTTACTGATGAACGTGGTGTTATGTCATATCCTAGTTGGAGCTGACATATTGGTATGCGGTGATCTGCTATCCCTGGAATCACATTGACGGCTGATTTATTTAACGGGAACTGGCCACTAATCAATATAAGGTCGAGTACGCTTTTTGTTTGATCTTTTATACGTGTTGGCGCAAGCACGACTTGTTGTAGATTGAAATTTAAAATTAAATCAATAAGTGTCTCCGATGACTGTGACGTGTACTGCATGTTGTTCCAATTTATGTCGGGAAGGTTAAAGTCACCCATGATGATTAGTCGAGAGTTATGGGCATGAGTTTGAAGATAATCTTGGATCGCTATAATACATTTGTTGTCTGATGAGGGGCTTCTGTAAACGCACCCGGTTACTATGCTAATTTCATCACAATGAATTTTACAGAATACCGCCTCTGCGCCTATAACATCGGGAAGCACGATAAAAGGAATCGAACATAACTGCATGCATCTTTCCAAGACTTTATAATTTGCCAATTTCCTTGTAGCATTAGAAATTACTAGCCGAATCCATAGTCATATACTCACATCTGCACAGGTGGGTTCATTCGCAGCACTTCCGAGCACACGGCGTCCAGATACTCCAGTCCCATGACCACTTCGTAGGTGATGTCGCTCTAGATCATAGTGCAACAATTTGAAAACTTAGTCAGAAAAAGGTGATTCTAAGTCAAACGTTTCAAACATGCCCGACCCCCACAAATTGTACTGTAAAGAATTATGGACGTTCAGCAGTGCACCACTTACCATCGGAAAGTATGTTTAAAAAAAGCTTTGTCTATTACAACGATCTAAATTTTTGCCGTAGTGGGCAAAACCTAGGTTGCGAAAAAAAATGTTCTTCAAATACAATACTATACGGAACACGTTAATCATTTGCTCTTCGCTTGAAAAGAAACAGCACTATCTTATTATCGCCTATTGACGACCTCTACTATGGCACTTAAAGGAATTTGTTCTGGAGCAATGCTGCAATTCTACACTCATTCAGAATATTTTAAAACAACTTTACAAATAGAACAGAAAATGTAACTGCATCACAAGGCAGGATAGGTGGCAGTAAGCATGTCACAAAAGTATTGAAGTCGATAACAGTGGTTTCGAATAGGAAGGGGTAAAAGCAAACTAAAAATGGGTAAAATGCCCCATATTCGGGCACACGTTGTGTAGTGATGCGCTTCAAGTTTAAATGCACACTTGGTCTCCTTTGGAAGAGTAAACAAAGGAGATTTACATGTTAAAAATTAAAGATGATGGTTGTTTGAAGGAAGAAACAAAATGCACATGAAGCGTTTGCGGTGTGCCTGGGCGGAGCCACGTAAGCACGCTTCACTACGTCGCCACAATTCCTTGGAGCAATTGTAGTGTGCGGCGCCTATGCGGTTGGCGAATTCGTGTGCTGCTGCTTGTTTTCTCGTTCCGACACATATTCTACCGCTGTCGGCAGTGCCCCCAACGATGTTTCAAGGAAAATGAGACATGGTTCGCTTAAAAGGTAATATATAATAAAAGCACCAAAGAGACACGGAGATTACACACATAGCTAAAGCAGCATAGGGTCGAGCTCAATGTGGTGGCGGTTTGATCATACTAACTGCGCATGCACAGTCCTTCCCCTTCTTCAATCTCCAATGCTCCCACTCTCTTGCCTCGCAAAAGAGCCCGACTCAGGCAGCGCCTTGTTGCGAGTTCCTTGTTTGAAAAATTTGACTACTCGCGCTGCACAACCGTTCACTAGCCACCCCGTATATATTGTCTCGTTATAATGAGTAGAAATCCGTAACTTGAGGTCGGCCGAACCTCAGGCTGGTCTGCTGACTGGCTATTTTTCATCGTGTTTTCTGTATAGCGGCACATCCAAATTCGCCAGAAAACGATACCGCGTAATATATGCTGATGGCAAAGAAAGACCGTCGATGTCATCGTCAGTTGTCGCCGTTGTAAGTGGAGTGCGTGAAAGACAAATCTTCATCCGTGTCCTTCCGGCCAGACTTGTAAACGATTATTACGTCAAACTTCTTGAAGGCGTAAACTTCACTTAGCCATATGTCTTTAGGGGTCCTTGAGATTCACAAGCCAGCAGAGGGTGTGATGATCCGTAACCACTTTGAACGGGCGGCCATAAAAGTATGGTTGAAACTTTGATATCGCCCAGACAACGGCTCGTCATTCTTTCTCCGTGGTCAAGTAATTCGCATACGCAGGGGATAATATCCGGCTACCATAAGCAATAGCATGTTTGACGCTCTCTAGCCATTGAACGAGGCCTGCACCAACGCCGATGTTACTTGCGACAGTGTGCAATTCAGTAGTGGCGTCTTCCTCAAAATGACCGAGTAAGGGCTGAGTTTGCAGGCGCTGCTGAAGGTCGCAGAAAGCGGCTCTGTGCTCGAAGCCCCACACAAAGGGAGCGTCATCTTTCGTCAGATGGGATTTTAGAAACAATTTGCATAAAATGCATGTATCATGCGCAGAGTACCAGAAATCGACGCACATCACGTTTGTTAGCAGGTGGCGGAATGCAGTAACAGCCAACGTATTTCATGGATCCAGCCGAATACCATCACGGCTGACAAGGTGGCGAAGCAACCTCATTTTATCGTAATCAAAGTACCACTTTTCTCGTTTTAAAATAGGCCTGCTGCACGAATTGCATAAAAGACTGGCTGAAGTCCCTACAAATGCTGTTCGAAGGTTCGTGAAAATACAACTACGTTGTCCAAATAAACCAGACATGATTCCCACTTAAGGTCCGACAACACAGTATTCTTAATTCTTTTGAACTTCGCAGGAGCAGAACACAAAGCGAATGCCGCACTTTGACTTTGTACAGGCCATATGGGGTTATGAATGCTCTCTTTCCACGGTCAGGCGCATCGAATTCGATCTGCCAATAACCGCTACGCGAATACATTGAGGATAAATAGTGGGCATGTCGACGGCGGTCTAGAGAGTCGTCAATACGCGGAAGAGGGTAGATTTCCTTCTTGGTTACTTTGAGTTTCCGGTAATCCACGCAAAATCTTAGAGTGCCGTCCTTTTTTACGAGAAAGACGGGGGATGTCTATGGACTGGTGAAGGGTTTGATTACATCGCCGTCAAGCATCTACTTCACCTGTGAGCATATCGCCTCTGGCTCCTTTTGAGACACTCGGTAGGAGGGCTCACGGACTGGATGTTTAGTTGGGTTCGTTATAATGTGGTTATTCACAGTTGGTGTTTGCTTTATTTTTGAGGTTGGCGCGAATCAGTCACAGAAATGGTGAAATACTAAATATCCTGCTCTTTATGCTCACATGAAAGCTTCGGATCAAGGTCAACAGCAATGGTAACCTTGGGTTAAACTTGTAAGGCTGCGGAAATCGGAGCAATCATTGAACATGCGTCGCTGCTAATGACTTCAAAGTGAGCGACCGTCGTTCGCTTTGTTAAATTCTGGTATTCACCGCTGAAGTTCTTGACCTTGAGCACAGTCATCCCATGTTTAAATTGAACGGTTCCGCGGGCGACGCCGATTTTCAGAGCTAATAGTACCGACAGGTTCGCTTCGGTGATACTACTACTACTGTTATCTATGTTGCTTGTTAGAGTTGCGAAAATACTGGTTCGCGGCGGAAGTGACTGCGTCGTAAACGATATGAAGTGCTCTTCTCTGCGTATCAGTATCTCTCGGGGACTGGCAATGCTAATCGGAAAGCATTCTAAGCAATACTCACAAGTCAATAACGGCTCCGTGCACGCGCGAAAAAATGCATGCCGAGGATGACCTTCCGAGAAAATTCGCGCAACACAACAAATGAACCGACGAAGGTGGACTCACGGATTCGCAATCCGGCAGTGCACCACCCGATCGGCGTCAAGAGGTGACCTCCTGCTGACCAGAGGTTGAATCCATGCTCCCAGGGAGTAATAACCTTTCTCAGTTCAGGCACGAGGTCAGCGATGATAATGAAGTAGTCAGCACCAGTGTCTACCAGAGCAGTGACTCGATAATAGTCGAATAAAATATATGTCAGCAGACACGCGTTTGTCGTTGGTGAAAGATGTAGGAGAAACTTAGTCGTCAGAGTTCGGCGGACTGGTTGGGGAGGTTTTTTTACTGATCGCTCAGCAATGGCCCCACCCCTGGAGATCGCTGTTCCTAGTTTCCCGGGGGGGGGAGGGGGGGGGGCATGGGGACCTAGGTGACCGTCCCGCAACGACATCAGTGACACTTGACGGTAGACCCGGTGATGTGGAACGTCGAGGAGATGGTGAGCGTGACTGGTGTCGCTCAAAGTTCGGGGAGTGAGTACTCTGCGATACCACAGGGCTGTTCACCGTCACGAGGTCAATGGGCCTTCAGCCGAAAACGAAGATGGCCCATGCGTCGGTATAAACAGCCACGGTAAAGGTGGCCTGGTTCACCGCAGTGGTAACAAAGGGGCTAATCGTCGGGAGCGTGCCACACACTGGGCTTCGCACGGTAACACCCGGGGTCCCGCGTGTTACCGTGCGGGACCCCGCGGCACCGTGCGTGTCAGTGTCAAAATGTCAGTCTTTTCTGCATCATAGTATTAGCTCGATATGTATCAATTTCTGCTTATTCAGCAACCATATCTTGTGCAAACATGTGAAAATGCTCTAAAAGCATTGTTAGTACATCATTTTAAATTATAAAAGTCAAACTTCTCGCCAGGTGAACGCGTAACGTGGTACATATGCTGTTCATGCTCTAGGCGTGTATTGAGCCTGTGACCCATCAACGTTTTTTTGGCGGACGCTGTATGTCATTTCAGTAGTGGCATCAGGAGCATATAACATATCTTTATGCAAATATGGATAGGGCCTGGCTTCTAAACTGCAAAGGCTTGTCTCGCAAATTATCAGCACCGCAGCGCGAAAGCACCCTGTGCTATCAATAATGCTGCTAAGTGAGTGACCCGGCTTACTCCGAGGGCAACAGGCGCCACAAAAGATGCGACCCCGCACACTTAGCGCACGGCTGGAGGAGCTTGACGGGCCGGCTTTCGCTCCTCGTGTTAGCGAGATCACGAAAACTTACAGTTGCACTCGACTAAAGGCACACCGTAGGAAGATCCGTAATGGAACTGGTTGATATTAGGAATTTCAGAGATTCTGATCATATGGTGTAAGCGCTGAACTTGTTTCAATTCTGTTTTAATTTTTTAGAACTTGTATTTCTCGTATGTTTTCGTTCGCAAACAGTCATAACTCTTTCGCTAGTGAATATATTTTATTGAAACTTAGCACACTTCCTTATCATAAGACTAGACGTGCACGTAACTCCAATGAATAATTTCGTGCCACGAGATTTATGAGGGTGGCTTGTTACACTAAGGTGCCCCTTGTACCGTGAATACTTTTTCGGTTGTTGCAGCACTATTGTCTAATTATCTATCATATCTCATTTGTTTTGGTTCTTTGCATGACCCAATTCTTTCTTTATGCACGTGCGAAAATAGTGTTATATTGAATGTAACTCGAGTTCTGAGTGTTGGCGTTAAGTCGATTTTTAATAAAGCTTTTATTATTAAAAATAACAAGTATTAGGACTTACAATATTATGTTCCCACATGCCAGAAATATATGCTTGATATTGCAGGCTAATATTTTCTAGTTATTACAGCGTTTAAAATTACCTTGTGACATTTGACCTCATACCTAATAATCTGAGAATGTGTGCCAACCACTACGACGTACAAAGAAAACGGGCATATGTGAAAAATAACCACACTTGGGACGCAACCCATTTCCCAAAGCGCTTCCTTTGATAAAATAAATTATTGTTGCGATCGGCGATCTACCCTTTGCTGCAGGTATGGGTTGAGAAAAAGGCAGCCGCCTTACTCTGTAGCGATAAAAAACGTGGTGAAGACGCCCAGCTTTTTTTTTCAGGTACGCTGTGGGACATTGCAATAATTACTCGGAGGAGCAGTGTCGTCACTAGTTACGCCGTGAAAATCTTACACATGGCGCTTTAGTGCCCCAGAAGAAGCCACAATGCCGAGTTTCCGCCGAAGACGGACGTCGGACCACCACGCTTTGCGTCCCTGACTGATAGGCCACCGGTCACTCAAATCTGTGCCAGATCTCAAGGCACGTGCCCACGGAGACGCCAAGCCTGCGAACGCCGTTCGATAGCACGCGTGGTCGACCCAAGCGGCGAGATGAGAGACTCATCTCACCCCACTTGCTGGAAGCAAGATTCGCCCGACGCAACAGCATCGCCACAACCACATGCATGTTTTGGTTGCGTATGTGTGTATGTTGGGGGCGTAGCCGGCATGGTGACCCTCTGGAATGCTGTGGGACCTGTTATTGGACCGTGCAGTACGCACCCATTTTCCGATCTAGAGATCTGGAGAAACGAGAGTTTATATTCAGCCCTGGCAGGCTCTTTAGAGATCTTTTTCTATTTAAAGTTATGGGCCAGAGAGCTCTTGCCATGTACATGATGTATATTAGTCTTCTATGAAGTTCACCTTCCTGCTGCCTCGACATCATCCCGGATCTCCGGTGCCTGCAAAGGCCGGTCGCAACACTATGCTATGCGCTTAGAAAAGCCGGAACATTAATAACAATGCACACAAGCTAAATAATGGTGTGCACAGCTATTATAATTAAGTAATCGTGAGCGATCCGACCAGAACAAAACTACCGTAGCGTCAGTGACGTTCTTCCCAATGTGTAAGTTTCTGATTCACGCCATTCTGCGTCATGTCTCGTTTGCATTCATCACGAAAAGGTAGAACGATACGTTGTCATTTCCACTGTGACGCCACATGTGAGTCAGATTGAAATGGTCTCCGGACCTCGTTTTCTTTTTTGACCTCACCCATGTGGCATGGCGAAAAAAAAACTATGCCACTGATTTTCAATGCGCGCAACGTAGTATAACATGTTTCCTTTGGAGGTTAACCCTGTTCGTACCGTTTCCAGGTGCGGCTGCTATGTGGGGAGCGCTCAGTTGGAGTCACTAATACTAAGAAGTTCCTTGCAACCCTATCAAGGCTACAACGCTCCTTAGCCAACTGGAACGCTGATTAGCCTCTGCACGTGTATTCATCCACATCGCGTCCTCTCCTGGTCATTTTCCCGGCCTCTGTTTGCACGCGTAGGAAACAGAAGGCGCCTCTGTGCAGCAGCATGCAGGACGATGAAGAACGATTGCGAAACCGTTAAGTGTCATCAGAGGAAGCCGAGGAAAATGACCAAAAGGTTTCCTCGTATCTTTTGTTTTGCTAGTCAATTACTTCTTACAGTGCGCTTAACCAGGTCTCAGGAAAAAATTTAGTTCGACACTAGAAGCTGTTGTATACCAAATGAAAGGCTTTGAGCGAGCATGATGCGAGGAGGAGAGTTGAAAACATTCACCACTCGCCCGGTGTATAGACTTCGTCAGCCAAATTCATTTTCTGCTCTCTTTGGTATCGGAGCAACTATGAGCTAGAAGATCGCACGACGCTGACGCATCAACGCTTCCGGCGCACGCAAGGTTACATTTGCATGACATGCTCTAGCCAGGTCATGCACGCCGGCAGTGTTGTATCATATCGTTTCGGTATCTCATAATTGTACTGCCTATTTTGTTGAATGTAACCTTCTATGCGCAGAAGTTTGGGTAACTTGCCATAATCAGGTATCGCTAGCACGACATACAACGTAGCACTGCCGAAACTGCTTCAAATACAGTGCACCAAAGCACGCCAAGCAATATTAAGGCTGGAAGAGTGGCGGCAGCCTGGTCTTGAATATCTGAAGCCACAATTGACTTGTCTATCTACCCAAAAATGGCGAGAACAAGCATTGGTAATTCAAAAGAACACTAAAATCAAAACGATTTACATCAGAGGGAAAGCACCGTGTGCGAAAACCTCTGAAACGACAGTACTATTAACATCAGTGCCCTACTTTTCGAGAACTAATATAAATGCACAGTACATGCGCCGCAGTAGAATATGCTGAATATGATCTCGATGACGTAAGACGAACCATCTACTAGTAATCAAGCTAGCTGCACTAAATAGAGATCTTTTCACGCATCAAGAGACGTAACTAAACGCCTATTTTGTTTTTGTTCGATTCCTGGAATAAATACGAGTGGTCGCAAAGTTCTACTTTCGCATAGTTAACCTGGGCAGGTCAGGCTATCAGTAGGGCCTAGTTGCACCGATGACTTCTGCCATCTCTGAGCGAGTGGCAGGAAAGTGTTGAATCGCCATTGTTGCTGCTGTGCCTTCCAATGCTTTCGTTCTGCTGCTACTAGTGTCGGTGGTTGCGCAGTGAAGTCAGGCAACGTTGTGCATGGCAACAAGTGACGTGAGACGTTTCGTTTGGGCGGGTAACTTTGAATGCGTCAACCTAATGCGGAATAATTGATTCATATGTGGGTATAACGTCCTCAAACTACCATATCATTGAGAGACGCCGTAGTGGAGGGCTCCGGAAATTTCGGTCACCTGGGGGTCTCTAACGTGCACCCAAATCTGAGAGCACGAGCCTGTAGCATTTTCGCGACCATCGAAAATGCGGCTGCCGCAGTAGCCGCGATTGGATCACACGACGTGCGGGTTAGCAGCCGAGTAACTTAGCCACTATAGACAACCGCAGCGGGGCAACCAGATGTGGACCACTAAAACGTGATTTTTTTGCAAAATAGGCACTTGAGTGGCACAAAATTAACACTACCAAGTTTCTTGACCACCATTTCCACTATCAACGTCGACCTAACAGTTGTATTTAGCGTGTCTTTATTTGCAAGAGCAGTATGAAACCGACACCAGCTGCATTACTCCGATGAAGACCGTGAATGAAAATTAGGATCCTAGCAAGAATTGATGGCGAATGAGAGTCAGGTATTGTAGTACACATCGACGGCAGGTCATGAAAATGTTGGGAAGTATAACCCTTTGCTGGTGTATTGTTGGAAGAACGTGAACTGTGATAGCAGTGCTCGCTATAAATATTTTGATAACAATGCCAAAAAACACTGAATATGTGCTGTTATCATACACGCGTCATGTCAGGTTATCGTAGATAGGGGTTCCAGTGCTTGTTCGATTTCTTATAGCCGGTTCGTAAGCATTAAACTTGTATTTCTATGACTCAGAAATCTATATTTAGGCGTTGCTGGATGCCAGAGGAGTACCTTGACGTAAGTTCCGTATGAGAGTGACACCATGGCACCGTAAAGTGCTCTTTGTTTTGATAATACTCGCGTCTGGGGTCGCGCGTCAAAGCCGTTACCTCAATGTATAAGCTATGCTTTAATCAGCAGCGTTGTCGGCGTTTTTGGTAAGTTCACAACGTGCACACAACTACTGCATATACAAAAGCACGTCAAACAACTCGCAACGCACAGCTCAAAGCCAAACAATTATGCACAGACTAGCCTACTGCAGCTTCTCATGAGGCCACAAGGTGTGGTAGTTGTCTCCCGTATGGTACGCCTTATTGTTTACGCTCCTGTTTTAGTGCAGAGTCAAAGGGGAACTCGTGCGCTTAATGAGATACTGCACTTTAACCTACTTGGTTTTTGCGGACATCTTCAATTTCTTCGATGAGACGCTCCTGTATGTGCTTGTGCTGCGCCAAATAGTAGACGGCCATTGACATCGCTATTGTTGTCGTGTCGTAACCAGCGACAAAAAAGAGAACAGCCTGGGCAAGCACTTGATTCTTGGTGAGCCCTGAAAAGACAACATGCCCCAAATTATCTTGCTTTGATGTATGCCGACGGACGAAGGGCTCAAATAAAAGCTTCAAATACGTGTCGCCTTTCACTAGTTAAGCGAAATTTAGAACACGCTACACACTAGCATAAAAGGTGACTTGTAAGAAATGAAATTGTTGTATGCACTGATTTACATTATTACGTTTGCATATGGCAGAAAAAAGAAAGAAAACTGAAAGTGCTACGTAAGTTGCACTCATAAAAAAAGAAAAGAGCACTGGAAGAGCTACAGAAACAAGCAAACAAAAAAACAAAGCGCAGCAATAATATAATGCCGCGAGCGCGTTCGAAGCGCGTTTGAAGGCCTCAAGCTTGAAGACCATAGACAAACCTGTGCACTACCCACAATTTCCATGATGAATGAACAATTGCGGCACCAGAGTCCCCTCTAGTTAATTTCAGGCAACAATGACTTAAATGTGTGATAACAACTGAGCAAGAAAAGCTGAGGAGAGGTCTCGTAATGCGAGCTACAGAGCGAAAAGTGTGGTGGAAGGCACGTGCTTTTCAAAGGGGTTGTGGGAATAGGTGGGCGTGCCGGCGTCTCGTGCGGTCTGCATCACCATTCGCATGACTGCGTTCTTGATAGACCGCTGGAGTTCTGAATGGGCATTTTTAGGCAGTTTTTGTACTTCAAAGATGATGCAATGTGTCAGAAGCCTATAGTGAGCGTTGGTTTGGACGGTTTCGAGTTTAGTTTATATCGCTTAAGGTCGAAACCGGTTGTTTTAGAAGCTGACGACCACTTTTTCGAAAATGGATAAAGCCGCAGCTTCGTTGTTTTCCTTCTATACTGTGCTGCCTCAGCGAAGGCAGCTTGAAATGTCTCGACAAGAACAGCAGCGTCTACGGCTTTTGATGCGAGATGTGGCGGTAAGCCGTTCTCATGTACAGCAGTCGACTATTAGAAAAACAGTGCGCTGCCTCACCAAGCTCTTGGCAGCTCTCACCAGAACTTGCCAAATCACGAATTAGACATGCCTGATAGAGCAACGTTACTTATTGTTTGAGTTTTTGCTTTGTGTGGACGTTTTGCGTGTGGTGACCCCATTTTTAGGCAAGGTTTTGGGTGTGGTGACCTTATCTTTGGGCTAAATCTACTCAGCCCTGTGGCAGGTAGATTTCATCTTCTGCCCAAGATACATAAATTACCCCAGACGCCCTATCATCTCTGGCATAGGAACAGTAACTGAAAACTTATCCAGGTTTGCCGATAGCCTCATAAACAGGATCCCAGCTACTTTCTCGTCATTTATAAAGGACACAAATCACTTCTTGAAAGACATTTTAGACCTAGGTGTTCCCGATGGTAGTTTTCTGATAACACTTGACGTCTCGTCCTTGTGCACAAACATCCCACACAACGATGGCATTTGCGCTCTCATCAAGACTTACGATGACTGTTGCTTTGACAAGCCAGTTGCGGGTGAAACCATTGGTACTCTCATGAAGCTCATCTTAGAACTAAACAATTTCGTATTCAATAACTTGCACTACGTTCAAACAAACGGGACATCTATGGGCACTTAAGTAGGTCCTAACTACGCAAATATCTTTATGGGCATGTTGGAAGCTAACTTTATAGAGAATTCACCTTTGAAACTATGCTTCTACAAACGCTTCATTCATGACAATTTCATTATTTTACCACATGGCCAGGCAAGTCTTTTGTAGTATCATTAGGAATTTCAACAATGCCCACTCCACCATTATTTTCACCCTTAATTACTCATCAACCATGATAAAATCTCTTGACGTTATTGTCACTGCTAGCGAAGGACGGCTCTCCACAAATCTCTTTCGCAAACCAACTGATAGGCATCGACTTCTCCATTTCTATAGCAGTCACATTCAACATTGCAAAACAGGGGTACCATACAGCCAAGCTCACAGGTTTAAATAAATATGCTCCAACCACGAAGATTTCCTTTCGAATTGCCAGGATCTAAAACGTTCGCTCATTCAGCGTAAACATCCACGGAGATTAATTGATGACCCCATAAAACGCGCTGACAAACTAAACCGAATAGACCTGCTCAACGCCGACCCCAAGTCGTTGGGTACATCCCAGTTAACCTTGTGCTCACCCATTCAACGTCAGCTCCAAACGTCATCGTGATTTTCAAGCGACACCATAACATATTAACTCAAATCAAGCGCCTTAAAAAGGTATTCGCAGAACCATCGAGAGTCATGTACAGACGTGCACGTAACCTCCGTGATATTCTTTCATCGTCTTAGCTAGCTCCCCGTAAACCAAATGGCTGCGCTCCTTGTGGGAAGTCGCGGTGCAAGGCGTGTGCGCACATGATAACTACGCAACCTGTCACCAGTTCATCCACTGGCTTTCAGTTAACAGTCAGGGGCCATCTAAATTGTGACAGTTCCAAAGTAGTATACATGCTCGAATGCGATATCTGCAATCTACAATATACTGGTTTTACAGAAACACCGTTTAGAACTCGATTTAATAATTATAAGTCGCACGACAAAACCCTTCCAAATCTTCCGCTATCGAAGCATCTAGCAATACCTGGTCATTCGACAAGATTAAAGCAACGGTACTGGAATCCGGCTTCCGCTCACATCATGAGCGGGAAATGCGCGAATCATTTCTAAACTACAAGTTTGGTACACTAAATTCTGGAATAAACGAACACGCAGGCACACTAACTAATCTACCTTCCACCACTTAAGGCATCTCATGCCTTTCCGAGATTTCTAGTTCATTTTCTGTTATTTAACTCCTTATATTTGTTTTCGGCAGAACCATCCTTGTTGCCTGCTTACCAAACTCGGTTGACCTGGTCATTTTTAGTATGTATCGTTCGTTCATGCGCTTTATTCTGCACGCATGGTTGTCATAAGGCTTTCCACACCATGCGCCATTTATACTTAATATCTCTTTCACTCGTACTGATGTCGCTATAACGATAAGAGGTGAACGCTCTGCCCATGTTACTTTACGCATTGCATAATCACACTAAAGGTATTAAGCCTTTTTGTATAATCATGCCGAATCACTTGCGATTGCCATTGAGCAAGTCCCAAAACATTTTAGAAATGTATATATTGGCTACGAAAGCTGCATTACATGTCAGACTGACGAAGGCTGGCTCACTAGTCGAAACGCATGTGAATCATAAAAGTGTTTCATTGTACGTCGTGCTTTCTAGATTCCTTTTATATATATATATATATATATATATATATATATATATATATATATATATATATATATATATATATATATATTATGAAGTGATTTGATTGATATGTGGGGTTTAACGTCCCAAAACCACCATATGATTATGAGAGACAACGTAGGGAAGGTTCTGGAAATTTCGACCACCTGGGATTTTTTATGTGCACTCAAATCTGAGCACACGGGCCTACAACATTTCCGTCTCCATCGGAAATGCAGCCGCCACAGCCGTGATGTAATCCCGCGACCTGCGGGATAGCAGCCGAGTACCTTAGCCATTACACCACCACGGTGGGGCCATATAAAGAAGTGTAACCTTAAGGCTTCATTCCTCTTTGTTTCCCACATTCTTATTGAGAACTAACAGAAAATAATCCAGAGTAAAGTATACGGAAGAATATATATATATATATATATATATATATATATATATATATATATATATATATATATATATATTGAGTAATTTCACATTCGCTTCTGGATATTATTCTGGCGTTTTGTTAGATAAGATAAAAGTGATGCTCATTACAGTGTGCACGAAAAAACCATCACTAGCATTTTTTTCAACTGCATTTCTGCGTTCACGTAACCTATCATTGATGCATCTTTCTGATTGCCTTACGTAACATTTGCAATCATTGCAGGGAAAACTGTAGACGCCTAATGTCATATATTTACGAAACTTATTCCTGTGGTATATTTGGCAGTACGCAACAATTTTTTGCTGGATTTGACTTTCTGCATAGACTGATCAGCTCATTAGGCGCATAGAAAACAGTATCAGTTCTACGATGCCGCGCTATTTTCTTTAGTTTGTGTAACCACCGGTGAACGATAGGGTTGTCGTTCATTTTTTCTCTCGATGGCAAGTTCCTTGCATGCTTTACCCAGGGTTACTGGCTTTTCGCACTTCGATCAACAATCCTTCTGCCACTGACATAAAAAGCTGTCTGGGATAACGAGCAACTTGCAAAGACCGCTGACTGAACGCTTCTTTGCTACAGTGAACGCATAATTTCTGTCGTGTGTGTTGGTAAATGCCGTTTTTACAACACCTATCAACTAATTTTAAATTGGTTGAGTGATATGAAAACAATTGTTTATTAGTCTATGGCTGTAGTACCAGCATATCAGGTAATTCCTTAAGGTAATATCAACAACCACATACTTCCGTGCACGGGAACCTTGAATGAAACTTCTAGTGGACACCATACTCGCGTATGGCAGTAAAAACATTACCACACTCAGTGTCAAAGTAGCCCGCTCAGCATTTAACACTGAAATATTCAAGAAATCTAAAGATAATAACAACTTTTGTCCTAATAAGGCAAGCACACAGGTCTCTGTTTTGCTTGGCTAAATATAAGTTGCTCAATAGAGGTGCTAAGCAGGATCCTATACAGACCCCTTCTGCCAGTCGGTACAGGATGATATTTCTTTCTACGTAGGTTGATTTCAGTTAGACGCTTAAAAGCTGTGAGAGAGTTCGGCGGCAGTGCCTGCTTTCGTTCTAAATCTCACGTCTCCAAAGGTATCACTGTATGAATGAACATAACTTTACAATTTATTTTGGAGCAAAGGATAGTACAAGCCTTTTACGACATCGGAGAAGGCCTTAAGTGCTTTAACACCGTTGGCTTCTATATATGTGGGAACCCTGGAATCATTCGTCAAAAAGGAATGATTTCTCTTCAGCGCGTTTCACTTGTATAAAAGAAAACTTTCGATAGCCCTTGACACGTGCCATT